TTTAAGAAAAGCTACAGAATCTTACGTTCGCAACCTTCTCAGATAACTTAGTCTGTCCACTCTGCGGTCATTTTGGCGACACTTACAGACAATTATTTAATCAGTCATACAAGACCATCTCTTGTATGATCTCTTTAAATGGATAGAGACCTAAAAACCTGACACTAAAGGCCAAATATCCTTTTTCAAAAACATATTTAAATATAGTTGTCTGACAAAAATTGCAAAGATAGCAGTGTTTGGCTCAAATAATGCACAAGCAAGTGTTTTTTCAGGCTGTTGCTTTTTTCACATACACACATTTCCACAACAAGGGGGGGCTTTTCCCACTTTCCCAGACTTTCTCCGTAAACAGACGCCATGTTTGGCATTAGGAGCTTTCCTATTCATTTTTCAACCAGTGCACTGTCTCCTCCTCCTTTATAATGTCTCTGCTAGCACTGGTGTAACAAATGTGTAATGCCACAGACTTTTATGGTACAGTGTTTCAGCTTTTCGTTCACATATTGATACCAGAAATTTATCTTGAACAAAAAAAAGGTTCACACTAATAAGAAAAAAGTGTATTTTAGTGTTATCGTCAAATGTAGAATTTTACCGGTTGGAATTAAATGGTAAGAATTCAGTTCCAGTTCCACTTCCAGTCTATTTTTATAGGGGCAACAATTTCTACTAGTATGGTAAATTTAAAAGAAATTGTATGCAACGAAATTTTAACGTGGTAATTCAAATTTAAAAATTTAATTCAAGTAAAAATTGAATTTGTCCATGTCAGAATTTTAATTACACGTTCTAACAGAATTCATAAAAATCATAAAAAAAAATTTATTCATACTAGTAAAAATTGTTCCTCACATTAAAGTAAACCGGGAAAAGACAAGAATTCTTACAAGTGACGATGGAAATTTTACACGCTAAACAATAAGACTTTTATTAGAATTTTATTATATATTAAATAATTTTTAAGAGTTTTTATATCTGAAATTTCATTTTTCACAACTATTAATAACGTAATTTGTTCAGATTGAATTTCTGATATCAGGAAACCCAGTAAAAGTAGAACAGAAACCTGCAGGCATGAACAGAAACTGATCTCAGCGCTAGCTAAGTGTGATACGCAAACATCTTTTTAGGAGCAAAGTTTTGCTGAGTAATAAAAAGGTCAAGGACCAAAGTAACTGAAAGAGAACTGAGCAGTGCTGTTCTCTATTTCTCCTTCACACATTCACATTCACTTCTTCATTCATCTAAAACTGAAGTTGGTCAAGATGAACTGTTGAGTGAGCGCTGTGTGAACCCATGCACCGGCGTTCTGATGACCGGACACCAGCTGGTGGACAGTAACAGCAGAGCGGTGACCATGGTGTAATGGAGGAAGCCCAAAGCCATGGTATTGACGTACTAATCCAGAGACATGATGACAGTCCAGTGGGAGGCAGTGTGAATCTGTGTGAAAGTGCAACTCCAGGATCTGACGCATCTAATCAATGTATAATCTCTGAAAACAGCCCTCGTCTCCTGACGTACCACCATATTGGTATTTTCTCCTTATAGGCTGTGGGCTGAGCCTCCAGAACATTTGTTTATCGATCTCTGGTGAAGAACTACATTCTTCTTTGTATTTACATGTGGAATATTTTTGTTAACGTGGGATTTGTGCACATTTTTCTAAAAACAAAGTTTACCCTTGTATACAGACAGTATGTCAGGACAAACACACAGAGAGCTCCAATCAGAGCTCATCTATGATGTGCCAAAGAGAAAGCAGGCCAATCAGATTAGTTCTCGGACCCAGAGCCTAAACGCAGGAGAATGTGAGAACTGCAAAAGGCAGACTAAAGAGGGACTGATATGAAGATAATGTCTATTGTCATACATTTAACATCTTCTAAACATCATTTGGGACCTACTATCCTCACTCTATTCACCTTTCATACCGCAGTGGTGGCAGCACTCAAAGATAATGACAGCCTACAGAGTTTCCTAACAAACGGCTTCGTCTAGAGGTCTGCGCTCCCTTGGGATTCCCGCTGGACTCGCCACAATACCTTGCGGTATTTTCAGCGTTGTGCTGAGTGAGCTGGTAACCAGTCCACTGTAGGCGCATGAAGAGAAATCCCGCAAATTAATGAACAGCTTAAATATAGCAAAACGATCACTAAATAATATATATTCAGAATATATAACAATATAAAATTATTTCATAATGTAAAACAAATAAATGAATGAAGTCATTCTAAAGAGCTGCAAAGCAGCCGATCATGTGAACAACACACTAATTCTCGCAGCTTACAGAGACGGTGGAGCCTTCAGTCCGACGGCCACAGCTGCCCAGCAAAACAACAAAAATAATCGCTCTGTGGTTTAATTACTGCTTTGTGTTTACTGGGAATAAATGCCGTTTGGTGAAGTTACTCACAGTGAGCCTGATGACCATGACTGCCACGTTATTTCAGCAGAGAATAATGTATTTGTGAACGGACTGTGTCAGATATTGGATGTCAGTTCACACTGACGGAAGAGAGTGGGACAAAACGCTTCGTTTACCAGGAGCGGGACAAAATGTTTCAGTTGCAGGCGGGAGCGGGACATAACGTTTCAGTTGTGGGCGGGAGCGGGACATAACGTTTCAGTTGTGGGTGGGAGCGGGACAAATGATTCAGATTTTCTGCGGGAGCGGGCCTAAAAAAACAGTCCCGCGCAGACCTCTAGCTTCATCCTGTTTAAATTTATGTATTAATTTTTATATACACAAGGATGTCTATCTGCTTTCATGCAAGCAGAGGTTCATCTCCAGTTGAATTGCAGACATCTCCAGTTCTTATCACCACCACTGTAAAGAAATCAGAGTGTACAAGTTTCTCCACAATAAACTGCTCTGACTGAACAACAGAATTATGGAAAAATTTAGAAAATCAACGCAATTCTCTTTTAAGGCAACCTCACACAGCCAGTTAGAGGTCTGTGCGTTAGATCAGTCTGTAAAGCAGTGCTGATTCTCAGCTTCAGATCTGATCTCGACTGTGGGCTACGGATCAATTCGGAGAGGTTTTTCGCTGGTTAATCATCCCAGTATCGATTAAATGTTAACTATTTGTTTAAAAGACATGAAGGAGCCCCCCAGTGAAGCCCCTGGTTTCTTGGGTGTAATTAAACCAGGAAAATATAATGTTGGCTCTGTTTTACATCAGCCTTCACATCTTCACACTCCCTCCTTCACTGGACCTGCATGTGTGACTTGCACGTATATACTTTCATCAAGTAGCACATTCTCCTGTATTAACAATCTCTTTGACCAATCACAGCCGTCTGAAGTCATCCTCTTGCTCCTCTATGAGCCAATGAGATGCAGCTTCAATGTTCTGAGTGACTAAAGGACAGCAGTGTAATTTGATATTACCAGAGTTGGTTTATGAGGAGCCTGGCCACTTCCTATTTCCCCTGTTATATCAAAAACAGGACTGCAAAACAGCAGTGCAGCACTGCTGTGTCTGATCCACTCATACGAGCACAACACACACTAACAAGTGCATCTATATAGTAAGTGGAGCTGATTCTTCACTTCTGCTCCAATCACGGCTGGTTTCAATGCCATATGACAGTATCGTGAATCGGACGCTCTGTTTTGAATTTTGATGAAGAATTTTGATGGTCAGTGTTTCAATATGTTCCACAAATAAACAATTTTGCTTAATTTTATTAACTGAAAACTGCTTGTAAAAGTAGAAGGAGGGGCAGACTGACAGCATCAGATGGCTGTGATTGGTTAAAAAGGCTGCCGACCCAGGAGCATGTTTCACAGTCACGGTTCAGATTTCTTCCCAGCGATCACGGTGTGTGCAGGTCATCATAAACCCTCACCACGTTACAATGTACAGTGGCAGCACATGCGGCCTGAGGCTTTCGCATGGTCTAAATAAAATTCCCTCTAAATAGAGACTGTACACTGCCTGTCAAAGTTCAGGGACTGAAATTCGGATTTTGCGCTGATACTTTTCAATTAAGTCAGTAAAGGTTTAGTGATCATAAAGCAGCTACATGTTAAAGCTTTGAGCATATTTGTATTCAACTCTCAGCTTCATGTTAATCAAAAGCCTTATTCGAGCTGGATTAGTACCTCTTTAACTCCGTGGAACCACCGGTGGTTCCAAAATGCACTTCGTCATATTCTTTACTTCATAACTTTTATATTTCATAAGCTACATTCAAAAGGTGGGGGTCGTATGAGAGCTGTAACTGTCTTCTTTCCAGTCAAATAGATGGGTGATGTAGTTTTAAAACTTCATAATAAAAGAAGCTGAACTCTTTTCGACTCAAAGTGGACATTTTTTCACAAATCTGAGCTGTAAACTGGATCTCAGACGGCGTCTCTTCAGTGATCTGCTCTGTAAAAATTATTTTTATAAAAAATACAAAGTGTGTCCAAGATTTTTGGCTTTCAGCAGTAAATTATAAGCATATGGCATTATGTTTATGATCATAAAACACATTTTCTGTTAATCTGAAGGGAGCTTTTAGAAAAAAACGACACTTTATATTCACTTCATGCAGTTACTGAATAATTTGCCTTAAGATTTGGGCATGTAAATTCAGATGGAAAAACAGGAGAATAACCTGAGAAGGTCCAGTAATGTAATTTGTGTGTGATTTGACTGGCTGATTTCTACAGGATAAAGGATCTGTGTAACTTCGTGCTCTGAAGTCTATCGTGGCACCACAGTAGGAGGTGAGCAGGCATGTTTACAACAGATGTAGCAATGGCTAAACTTTTCATTTTGGCTGGAGTTTCCCTTTACTACGGTAAGTTACTGACAAACTCACAAAGAATTCTCATTTGTATTCAAAACATTTTGAATTGAGAGTTGTCCCCAAACTTTTGACAGGCAGTATGCAGACTGTTTTTCAAATGTTATATAACAATATTAAGTTTGATGGTGTCATAAGGTTCACCTGCACACACAGTGGCCCCTGCTGGCTCTGCAGGAAGCAGCTTCACTCACCTCAGGAACGCCCATCTTCCTGCAAGCGTCCAGGAAGTTCTCCACATTCCTGCGGCACTTGGCCATGCTGAGCTTCGGCTGAGGGTCAGACACAGACAGAGGGGTTGCAGATGAGGCGGAATTAAGGGTTAAAAATACATTGTGTGTGTGTGTGCATGTAAACGTACTACTGCGGGGGACGGGACGTGGATACTGCCGACAGAGCGAGGTCGAATGTGATTGGCTAGATGACAGAGAACCACCCCGTCCATGAGGGAGGAGCCGAGGTCTTCAGGAAGAGCAACTTTAAGCCTGCTTTCGATGCTCTGTACAGAGAAATGAAGAGAGTAAACATACACTATATGTCCAAAAGTATGTGGACACCTGAACACCGCACCTATATGAGTTTGCTGAACAAATTTCCATAGTATAACAGTGGACAATCGATTTTTACATGCTATGCGCTTCAGCACTCAATGGCGCCGCTCTGAGTTTACGTGGTCTACCGCTTCGTGGCTGAGCTGTTGTTGCTCCTAGATGCATCCATTTCACACTAATAGCACTTACAGTTGTCTAGGGCAGATCTAGCAGGACAGAAGCTTCACAGACTGACTTGTGGCAGAATTGGCATCCTATGACGTTGTACTGCCAGTGTTTGCCTATGGTGGTTGCATGGCTATGTGCTTAATTTTATACACCTGTTCTCAATAATTAGTAGTGTCCACATACTTTTGCGGATATTGTGTAAAAAGTGATGCACTTCCTTTAGTATAGTCTATGTGATAGGCAGGTATACGCTGTATAGTCACTGAAAGTATTAGAATTAATTACAATTAAAGCAAAATCGTGTAACGGTACATAACAATTGCTTGAGGAATGATATCAATTAAAAAATCCTTTATTTAATTTCCAACCACTGGTGTTTTGCTCAGCGTTTTCTGGGCGGCCCACCGGTAGTTATACAGAGTAATAGACAAAATTCCACTTATCATCACTCATTTTACACTCACAGTCAAATTTACTTATACTTTCTTTAGTTATACTTTGTAAATTAGATTAGTAAATCATTTTAATCTAGCTCAATATCAGCAACAACATTTTCTATAAAATTATTTTATATCAGGCCTAGTCATGATTTTTTTCTCTCTCATTTGTTTGTAATATTTGTCTAAGTTTATTTTCCAAAATAAAAGTCTGTGTGCATTTAAAATCTGTTTGAGGTGATTAAAAACTAGTTAAAACTTCTATGCATAACAGTAATCTGGGTGGTCCAGACAATTGTCACCAGGCTATTGTTACCAGGCTAGTTGTTCGAGGCTGTAGAAGCTGGTCCAGAGAGCTCTTTACATCTACTGTACTATTAAACTTGGGCAGGAAAACACTCTTTCCCACCATATCACAGCAGTGAGAGAAGCTCTATGTGAGACACTTATTAAGATTTTTGTGTGTTTGTGTATGTGTGTGTGTGTGTGTGTGTGTGTGCAGGCATGTGTGTGTGTGTTGACCTCTCTGAGCTGCTCCATGAGTTCCAGCTCCTCTCGAAGCTGCTCCATCTTCCTTCTCATGGTGAACTGAGGATCCACTGATTCCAGACTCTTATGGGTCCTTAGGAACACTGACAGAAACATAAAAATAATATTCAAAACTAGTGTGTACCAATGTGGCCATTTCTGCTTTATATTAAAAAAAAAAACAGAAGAGAAAAGAACTTAAGCTTTAACTTTAGGAGATGCACTGAAACACAGTGGAGACACAGTGAAACACTGGATACAAATCATTGTATTCATGATTTTTGACAGTATTTTTGACTGTATAGTCGGATAAAGTAAACACAGTGATGCGTATCATAAAATGTATTGTGATGTTAGATTTTTGCCATATTGCCCACATCTATTCCATAAGTTCTTACAGAATCGGCTACAGATGTCAAACACTTAAGTGGAAGATTGAAGCAAAAGCAGCTCATCACAGCACAGATGATGTTCCAGTACCGGCCACAAGGTGGAACCAACGAGCAGCCGTGGAACAAATGCCAGCACCCGCTATGTGACCAGACAAGATGCGAGAGAGTTATCTGGTGCTAAAGGCCTCGAACAGCGGCCACTGAGACGGTCAGGAAAAACATCCACTCGCACTTCACAGTTTCGCTCGGCTATTTGAACACTAATCTAATTATTTGTTACTATTTTAGAAAAGGATGTAAAAGTGAGAGAGAGAAAAAGAGAGAAGAAAGAGAAAATAATGAGAAAAGAAAGAGAGACAGTGAGAAAACACTGAAAGAGAAAGTGATGGAGAGAAGAAAGAGAAGAATGATAGAGTGAGAAAACAGTGGAATGAAAGAAAAAGTGAAAAGAGTATGAAAGAGACATACAGAGAAATAGAGAGTGAAAAAACATTAAAGAGAAAGAAAAAATCAGAGGGATAGAGAAAGTAAGGGAGAAAAGAATGTTAAAGAAAGAGAAAGCGAAAAAAGGGTGAAAGAGAAAGTGATGGAGAGAATAGTAAAGATAGAGAAAAGAGTGGAATGAAAGAAAAAGTGAAAAGATAATGAAAGAGATAGACACACAGGGAAATAGAGAGTGAGAAAACATTAAAGAGAGAAAGAAAAAATGAGAGACGGATAGAGAAAGAGGCAGAAAAGAATGTTAAAGAGAGAGAGAAAATAGTGAAAGAGAAAGTGATGGAGAACAAAGAAGAATGATAAAAGTGAGAAAACAGTGAAATGAAAGAGCGAAAAGAGAGAAATGGAGAAGAAACATAGAGAGGGACAGAGAAAGAAAAGGAAGAAAAGAACGTTCAACAAAGAGAAAAAGAGTGAGGAAACAGTGAAAGAGAAAGTGATGGAGAGAAGAAAGAAAGAGAAGAATAGTAAAGAATGAGAAAACAGTGAAACCAAAGAAAGAGAGCAACGACTGAAAGAGTATGAAAGAGAGACACAGAGAGAGAAGTAGAGTGAGAAAACATTAAAGACAGAAAGAAAACAGAGAGATTGAGAGAGCAAGAGACGGAGAAAGAGAGAAAGAGAGACAGAGAGAAGAAAGAGAGCAGAACGAGAAGAAAAAGAGAGAACAGTGACAGAGAAGGAAAGTAGAGAAATTCTGCTCCCTGTTCTGGTAGCTTTTTTAAGATGTGTATGTTCAGCTTTAAGGAAAAGAAGATAAATGAACGGATGAAGGTTGGGAGGAATGGGAAAAGAGAGGGAGCAGTGTAAGGATGGGGAAAGAGCGATGAAAGGTCAAAGTGTAAAGAATGAACAGATGAATGAAGGCGATTAGAGAAAGGTCAGAAAAGTTCGGCCCCTCTCCCTCACGCGGAGGAAGCTGGACTTCAGGGCTCATTTAAAACCAGTAGAGCTCAACCTCAATCTCTCTCTCTCTCTCTCTCTCTATGTCCCTCTCTCTTTCTCTCTCTCTCTGTGTCCCTCTCTCTCTCTCTCTCTCTCTCTATGTCCCTCTCTCTTTCTCTCTCTCTCTATGTCCCTCTCTCTTTCTCTCTGTCTCTCTATGTCCTTCTCTCTTTCTCTCTCTCCCTCCCTCTCTATGTCCCTCTCTCTCTCTCTCTGTCTTTCTCTCTCTCTATGTCCCTCTCTTTCTCTTTCTCTGTCTCTCTCTATCTCTGTCTCTCTCTATGTCCCTGTCTCTTTGTCTTTCTCTCTCTCTATGTCCCTCTTTCTTTTTCTCTCTGTCTCTCTCCCTCTCTCTTTCTCTCTCTCTATGCCTCTCACTTTCTCTCTCTCCTTCTCTTTTTCTCTTTCTCTCTCTGTCTCTCTCTCTCTCTCTATGTCCCTCTCTCTCTCTCTCTCTCTCTCTCTCTCTCACAGTACAGCATAAAGATCACCGTGGAATAATCCACAAATAAGGCCACCAAAGGAGGTCAGAGCCAAAAAAAGAGCACCTTCTGTTTCATACAGGAAATTACATTTTTTATTCTTACCATGAGGAAGGAGACTTGAGGCAGGAGCAGGAGGCAGGAGGTGTCATGATTAGGGATGAGTATTGCTAAAACGTTTCCAATATCGATACTAAAACGATTCCATGGCTCTGATTTGTGAACGATATTTTTAATACCTTCTTTAAAGCCCCAGGGAAACCGTGTTCTCTTTCTACGGAGACCGATCCTGCTCTTCTACACTCTTAAAAAAGACGGTTCTTCAGGGGTTCTTTAGTAAAGAAAAAACCTCCATCCCAAATATAACACACCTCTTTTAGCTAATCAGGAAACCTAAAGAATCGTTGGCAACAGATAAACAGCTGAAGTGTCCAAATACTTTTTAGGCCCGACGTCTGTTTATCCTCTAAAGTTATGCTGTTGGCTGACGGTGATGTCATCACTCATCGACTGCAGTAGCCTCTGGCAGCTGGGTCAGCGAGGTCAGCATAAAAACAGCCAAAGACACAAAGCCAACAGCTTAACGCTCAGCTAACGACCTAAACTGATCGCTCATCTATGACGACGTGTATGATGATCAGGAGGTTTGTTCACTGTGTCATTTATTTGAGAAAGCCTTTCTGCAGAGATCTGATCTCTTTATTTTAATCGAACACAGCAGGACTATAAATACACACAACTCCATTTAAAGCCAGCTTCAGCCTCCCACAACAAATCTCAGCTCCAGATACGCTTCTCTCCCTCCACATTCCCTCCACTGCCCGTTTGTGAGTGTGTGTGTAAAAGTGGCCGCTACAAACCAACTTCAAAAAGATGACGCAAGTACACTGCAGAACATTTCCCAAGCATGAAAGTGAAATAGAGCCTTAATGGGGCCTCAGATTGTGCTCCAAACCTGAATACAGCCCAAAGAGCTTCCTCTATCAAAGTAGACCTGACGCAATTTTGTCTGAACCAGACTATCTCAACAAAATTCTGTCCAAAACTGACTGAATCAGACAAAACGCTGACCCAAAACCAACTGTATCTCGACAAAATTCTGCATTGTGACAATATTTTGTCCCAAATCGACTGGATCCTGTCAAAATTCTGTTTGAGTCATAATGAATCCTGACGAAATTTGGTTTGAACCCAACTGTATCCCAGCAAAATTTTGCCTGAACTCAACTGTACCCTGAGAAACTTCTGTCTGAATTCGACTGTAACTCAAAAAAATTCTCACAAACTGACTGAATCAGACAAAACACTGACCCAAACCGACAAAATTATGACCAAAACCGTTTTTCCCAGTTGTATCCTGTCTAAATTCTGTTTTAACCCAACTGTATCTTGACATAATTCTGTCTGAATCTAACTGCACCGTGACAATATTTTGTCCCAAATCAACTGTATCCTGCCAAAATTCTGATTGAACCGTAATGAATCCTGTCAAAATTCTGTTTGAACTATACTAAATCCTGACAATAATTCTCAAATTGACTGTATCCCAAAAAAAAATTCTGTCTGAACACGATTGTATCCTGACAAAATTCTGCCATAAACTGTCTGAATCTCAACAAAATTCTGACCAAACCCGACTCGGCAAAAATTCTGTGCCGATGTTCTGTCTGAACACAACTGTCTCCCAACAAAATTTTGTCCCAAATCGACCATATCCCCACAAAATTCTAGCTGAACTTTGCCGTATCCCAACAAAATTATGTCCCAAGCTAAATACGTCCCTTTTTTTTGTCTGAACCTGATTGTAGCTTGACAAACGTTCTATGACAATGTGGACATGAACGAAGACTGACAAAAAATGAAAGAACCCAACCAAACCTGACATAAACAGTCAGGCATCAATATCCCCCCATATATCTCGCTCTAAAAGGAAAGCAGGATCATAAAAATCAGCAGATCAGCGCAGGCAGATGAGAACGAACTCCAGACTTCAGACGGTTACACAAAGACAGGAACGTGAAAATCACGTGAGCAGCTACGAAGAGATTTATTTGTTCCGAAGCTTGTGATTGGACAGGGCCAAAGAAATGGGCGGACCTACCACTGTTCGGCATGCCTCCCTCGGCTGGGCTATTGGCCGTGTCTCTATCGATGGGCGTGGCCTGTGTAAGGGGGCTGAGACAAAGCGGGGGCGAGCAAGGGACAGAGGGTGGAGCTACAGGCGGAATTTCGTGTTGGCAGGACCAGGGCAAGTGGGAGGGGCCAAAGCATTAAAAAAACACAGGAAACAAGGAGGAGTTTCAGGAGTCAATCAAAGGGGGGAGGGGTTAGCAACAGCAGTCAGAGATGCAGTGACACAACAAAGAGCGCAGAAGCAGCAACACATGGAGAGTGCAGGGCAGGCAGCAGGTTAGGAGAAGGATGAAGGGATAAAAACAGTGGATAAGAAAGGGATGCAGGGCATTACATGTAAACATGGCACAACATAACAGAAAATGTTAAATCACCACAATTAAATGTTAGCAGCTTTTCACAATAACAACTTCACTGCATGCTGTTATTGCTCCATTTACACTCTCTGGCCACTCTAGTAGAAACCCCTACCTTCTCAGTCCACTAGGCCTGAGCCTCACGATGATTATTAGCTGAGCTACCAAAGTAACTCCCCCACCATAGCAAGACGCTAATATTGCTACTATTGATCTGAATGTTTTTTACTCTGTTTTTCCATAATAACGAGTTATTTTCATCTGTATTCTAGAGACACTGACTGTGTTTACATGAAAAGATTTTTGCCAACCCGATTATAGATTAAGACTGATGTGTTTATGTTCACTCTACTCAACACTCTGATGGAAAATCTCCGTTTACAAGCTCACAACAAGTAATCCGATCTAAATTTATACGCACACGTCGAGAACCACTTAAGCTACGTTCACATTACCAGGTTGAAGTGGTACAAATCCGATTTTCTGCCCTAATGTGACTCAGATCTGATGTTTTCAGAGCTGTGTGGACACAAATCCGATCTTACTTTCATATGTGGTCCTAGATCGGATACGTATCCGATTCGTGGCCATGTGACCTTAACGTGACGCTCAGAACGGAATTGATGTGCTTTTTTTCCACTGCACTGTGCCATCATTCAGCGTTACCATGGCAGCAGCGCCAAACAGAAGTTAAAGCCTGTAAACGGAGGAAAAGCAGCTCATCTCACCCTTTTCTCCTTCGTCTCGCTCTAATAATGAAGCTGAGAGCTGATCAGAGTTAATTATCTTCTCAGCGAAGCTCGTTCTGCTCGTTAGTTTGTGCTGATGATGCACGTGATTCATTCACGTGACGTTACTGAGTCCGTCCCACCGCCGTCTTTTAAAGATCAGAGCATAAACTTCGTCTCCTCTGCAGACCAGTTTCTGCTCCGCCATGTTGAACGGTATAAACTTTCACTATGACACGACGAACATGATCAGAACGGACTTAAACTTTCCGATAGGGAATGTAATCAGATACAGGCGTTTACACGGATATTATTCTTCTATTTAACGGATTATTTACAGAATTACCCACCTCGATCAATAGGATAGAAATTGTCTGAATGGCCTAAATCGGACTAAACTATTCCAACTGAGCTGTTAGTCAGAAACGTGGCTACCGTAATAATGTAATAATGGCATACCTCAAGATCTCGAGAAAACATTTGTTATGTCATGATGATATAAATCACTCAAAATCTCAAGAAAAAAAACTTGCTATGAGGAAAAAAAACACATGCAAATCCACGGCCCTTCAGGGCTTCCGTATCTTCCCCACACAGTTATGTCATTTCCTACATTAAGGCTGGTTTTACATGAAACTGCATGAAGCTAAATTGCATTGTAAAGTGTCCTTCAACTGTAATAACGATCATGGTGACCGACGTTTTATTTAACAAAGATTAAGCTTCAGCTTTTACGCTATCACTGTGTTTCCTTCCTCGTCCACTCCAGTGTTAGGAACTGTCACAAAATGACCAGCGCTGCTATTATTAGTGTTGCTATGTCTGTCTTTGCTTTGCATGTGGTTACCCAAATAAGCGGATTCTGTTACCGTCACAGGCCTACAGCACACTGGCTGTAGTCCATCTGTTCAGAAACTGACCAGTAAGGGTTGCTGATAAATTCTGATGATCTACAGTCTCTAACTGTACACCTGTATAGTAGACCTGCCAGGTGGGTGGAGCTCATAAAGTGGCCCGAGAGTGGCTACAAGGTAGGGGTTTCTAATAAAGTGAGCTTGGAATAGCATAGCTGAAGATAGTCAGTAATGCTACATATTAAATGGGCATGACTAACATTAATGCTAGCTGTTAATGCTACATGTCAACACATGGGCATGGACAACAGTGCAAACGCTGCCGCAGGTGTTAGTGATACAAGCTGGAGAAGCTCTAAACGTTTGTACAGAGACTCCACTGATTGGACTGCACACTAAAAGCACAAGGAAGGCTGACCCCCCACTGAAGGGGGAGCTTCTCTGGAAGTGTCCAAGGCTAACGGCCCAAGGTCATAAGCTCTAATATAAACATATCTTTTTATAATATACTGAGCCTTCAATCTGCAGTGGGATCCGAATAAATGATTACAGTGCATGTGCATTAATCTGGACTATAAACGTCTTTGCTCACCTGATCTGGGCTTGAGGCCGAAGGGGGGGCTGCTGAAGGGGGGCGAGGACACCGGGGTCTGAGCTTCGCTCTGAAATGTGTGGTACAACACAAACAAGTGTTAACTTCTCTCAAGGGGAACTTAGAGAACATTTTTACAAATTTTACTGAACATCAAAAAAATTATTTACAAAACAATACAACATGCTAATTTGTAGTATTTATTAATTAATTTGTAAATTAAATTTTTTGCATGTTTATCATTTTCATATGGTGTGAAAAATAAAAACAAACAAACAAAAAACTAAGCAGGACCTGATGACACTAAAGATTTACCTTGTGCACTTCATGCGTATAATGATCGTTCGACTTCTCCTGGCACATCATCTCCGCCTACGACACAGAGAACGAAGCTGCAGGTCACCAGAGCTACATACGCTCTACACTCACCCACATAAACACTACAGTCAACCACAGATTTACCAACAGGCCACACCGACTCTTTGACCCAGGCAAAGTGTGAAAGAGAAGATGATGATGCAAATTTAATAAATAAATAAAATCAGCTAGTTTTTGAGATTAGAAGACTTTTTAAAAAAAATCTAAATGGTGTGCAAGAAGAAAATAAATTATTTTTGTATGAATTTATTCATTAATTATTAATTATTAAATAAAATTTTACATAAAAAATTGCAAAAACTCAAAATAGAAAAAAATGTGATTAAAATTTTCCAGATTCATAAATCCCTGGTATTCTGTAAGAAGAGATGAAACTATTAAAAATGATCAAATTCCAAATAGTTTGTAAGAGTAGAAGAAATTATTATTCAAATTCCAGTATTTCAAAATTCTACATAGTCTGAAAGAAGAAATGATTTAGAAAAAACATAAGAACATTTATATTTCCAATATTCAAAAACTCAAAACAGAAAAAATGTGATTAAAATTTCCCAAATTCAGAAACTCCAGGTAGTTAAGAGAAATTAGCAGAAGAAATATTTATTGAAAATTTAAAAATTCTAGGTAGTCTGCAAGAAGAGAAATAATGGTTAAAACAGTTAAAATGGTTAAAATTCAAAACAGTATTAAGTGCAGAAACATAAGAACAGAAAACATATGATTTGAATTTCTGAAACAATTTTCTGAAATTCCAGCTAATTTCTAAGATTCAGTTTAAGATTTAGCCAGAATTGAACATAAACAAGTATTTAAAAAAATCAAAAATTCTTGGTAGTTTGCAAGAAGAAAAGAAATTATAAAAAATAAACCAAATGCCAAAGACTCCAAAATGCAGGTTTGTAAGAGCGAAAGAAATGGTTATTAAAAATAAAAAAAATCTAAATTGTCAAACTCCTCTTCTGGTCTGAACAGACCTGCTAATTAAAGACATTCTTTTATCACTCATTTGAACTTAAACCTACTGATTTACAGAAACGTAACTATAATGTGGTCCATGAACAAACAGAGTGTGATGTCAGCGTCTACAAGCTGCTTCTGAGCGTGTTCTGATTATCTGTGGTGATACAGCTCAGAGCCGCCCGGCGCTGTGAATGAGGCACAATGAGGCCCTGTTCTCTCCCTCAACACCTCTCTGTTCTCTCTCCCAGCTCTCTCCTTTTTTCCTCCCCCTGCATTCCCCTCTCCTCATCCTTTCTGTTTCATTCTTCAGCTGCTTCATAAGAGAAGAAAAAACTGTTAAGATTTTTTTTTTAATTCTAGAGGAGATATTAAGTTGCAAAGATTGAAAAATTCCAGCTAATTTGTAAGAGCAAACAGATTATAATGGTGGTTTTGATAGAGATGACTGAAATTCTAGAATAAGAAAGAATAAGAAAGAAGGATGTTATCAGAGATAATAATTTTGTAATTGGTTCATTTTTGGACTTTTAACTATGATATGATTTTACGTAAAGTATTGATTTTAATCTGATGATGCTGAATGAGCATGATCTCAATCAAGTTTAGTCCAGTGAGGCAGAAAAACATACAGTTCTGGTCAAAAAGTTTGAACCAACAGCTTGAACGCATACATTAGCTCTAAATGCTTATGATTACATGCTTAACATTTGTTTCCAAGACAAACATAAATCAGAGCATTAGAGTATTTAGAGTATTAGAGTATTCAGAGTATGAGTATTAGAGTAATCAGAGCATTAGAGTATTCAGAGTATGAGTATTAGAGTAATCAGAGTATTAGAGTATTCAGAGTATGAGTATTAGAGTATTCAGAGCATTAGAGTATTCAGAGTATGAGTATTAGAGTAATCGGAGTATTAGAGTATTAGAGTATTCAGAGTATGAGTATTAGAGTAATCGGAGTATTAGAGTATTCAGAGTATGAGTATTAGAGTAATCAGAGTATTTAGAGTATTAGAGTATTCAGAGTATGAGTATTAGAGTAATCAGAGTATTTAGAGTATTAGAGTATTCAGAGTATGAGTATTAGAGTAATCAGAGTATTAGAGTATTCAGAGTATGAGTATTAGAGTAATCAGAGTATTAGAGTATTCAGAGTATAAGTATTCGAGTATTCAGAGCATTAGAGTATTCAGAGTATGAGTATTAGAGTAATTAGAGTATTAGAGTATTCAGAGTATGAGTATTAGAGTAATCAGAGTATTAGAGTATTCAGAGTATGAGTATTTGAGTATTCAGAGTATGAGTATTAGAGTATTCAGAGTATTTAGAGTATTAGAGTATTCAGAGTATGAGTATTTGAGTAATCAGAGTATTAGAGTATTCAAAGTATGAGTATTAGAGTAATCAGAGTATTCAGAGCATTAGAGTATTCAGAGTATGAGTATTCGAGTAATTAGAGTATTCAGAGTATTAGAGTATTCAGAGTATGAGTATTAGAGTAATCAGAGTATTAGAGTATTCAGAGTATCAGAGTATTACAGTAATCATAGTATTAGAGTAATCATAGTATTAGAGTATCAGAGTATTCGAGTAATCAGAGTATTAGAGTATTCAGAGTATGAGTATTCGAGTAATCAGAGTATTAGAGTATTCAGAGTATGAGTATTAGAGTAATCAGAGTATTAGAGTATTCGAGTAATCAGAGTATTACTCTGAAATGTTGAAAATGGTAAAAAAACAAAAAATAAAAACAAACAATCTCTTCTGTAAGTAGTTGTGTCCAAATCTTTGGCTTTTACTGCGTCTACTGTATTTCACAAGCAAAATCACCTGATGGTGAACACACAACACAACAAACACACACTCAACCACATCATCAGGCTGAAGACGGAGCTAGACAGGACGTTTTGGGCAGTGCGATGTTTGACTTCAAAATAATGATAAATAAAGGGCCATGAGGTGTCATGAAAGCTTCATAAGTAGGAATGACCTCTAACTGCATGCAGCAAATCATGAACACAAACACACTCATAACAATGAACCATGTGATCCCAAATTAGTGATGCACTGAAATTAAATCAAATCATAACCAGATCACAAATTTATAACACTGAGCTCAAAAGCCTAAAACCAAAAACTGCCAATTTTTGTTACTTTTTGCAGTATTACGTAAATGATGTTTATTTATTGTCTTATATTTATTCTTTCTGGTTAAACCACAAATAAAAACAATCATTATTCATAAAATGTTATATTTGGAGTCATTTAATGTTGGTCTGTTTTTTTGGCCAAAAATTCACTGCGTTTTTACTCCCGATGTTTTTTGTTGGTTGAAATTTCGGTGCATCACTCTCCAAAACGCTGACTGATGTCATGGCTTTATGAAGATGCATGGGTCAAACGTAACGGATGCTCAGACTAGAACATAGTTCCTCAACTGGAACATGGTTGGTCAGTCGAGAACGCGGGTTCCAGGTGTTACCTCTTGAGCCATGTGGAGCGCGTACTGCTGGCACGCGAGCTGGGCCTCCAGGCGAGCCCGTTCTAGAATGTACTGTCTCTTCCTCTGGAACTCCCAGCCTTCATCAGGACCCTCCTTCAACAACAACGACACCTCACAACTCCTCACAGCTACACTCCACTACCCCCCTCTAAACACTACAGGCTGCCAGGTAGGGTCCACACTGCAGCTCTTCAATCGCTTAACTACATCATTTATAGATCAGCTTCACAGAAGACACTGAATCATTCACAGTAATTAGTAGGGCTGCAACTACTGAACACTTTTATTTTTGAATATTCCATCAAATCATCAAGATATCTGTTTGTTCTATAGCCATACATCCCAGTTAACAAAATTTGTCTGGTTCACTTGTGGGCCACATCCTTGGTTTGTTCTGGCCCAGTATACGGCTGGGTCCTCAGCCCAGATCTGGCCCACACACTGTAAAGTGAGTAGAACTAAAGAATGTGGCCCAAATCTGGCCCCAATCTGGCCCAACTACATGTTGGTCCACAATATTCATGCCAGAATTGTCCCACAAATGTAGACACATGGCAAAACAGTATGAAGCTGTCCAGGATCTGGCCCTGTTGTGGCTCGCATGCCTAACATCTACCTGGTACTCAACCAACACTCACATAGAAAAGCCAAAATTGGCCCAGAACTAGCTGCTGTCTGGGAAAAATATACATAAAAAGATATGTTTAAACTTAATTATTAAATAATTTTTAACATTTTTACCAAATTTTTCTCCCCAATTTTAGTCGTGTCCAATTCCACCCGCTAACTAGAAAAACATCAGCAATAAACAATATTTCCTCGTACTACGTAGCATAAAATGCTATTATAATATAATATATGATCATTTTTATTATCAGATTTATTAAATTGTATTGTATATCCATTGCAGCCCTAGTAGTTACTGAATATTAAGTCCTGAGATTAATAACTAGATAATAAGCCTGGGTTTGAGGGGTTCAACATCACAAAAAGCTTCCACAAATCAATCACACACTTCAAACCACAACACAAAAACACAAGCTGGGACTGAAACAGCCTCAGAGGTGAAGCTGTACTCCAGGGTTGGGCGGTATCCACATGTTTCATGCCTTCAAACCATCTCCAAATATTAATACAGTATACAGTGTAACCAGGTTTGGGGAGTAAAAGCGTCGTAAGTGATGTAAAAGCATATTTGCCACTTTTGTGGCATCTCATTTTGCCTTATTTCAAAATCAAAAATAATCTGAAACTTTAGTTCACTTACATTGCCACCAAATAAGTGAACACAGTGCATGATCTTAGTCATTCAATGAATCTCAAGCCATCCAGCTAACAAGTGCTAAACGGGTCATTCTATAGAAACGTCCACTTCTTTATCTCTCCATAGGAGTCACTGGTGTTACTGGTCCTCATTGGTGTTACACATAAGAAAGAAACACCAGAGACATTTTTAATGAAAAAAAATTTGTATTCTATTTTTTCTCAGTTACCTCAGAATAAAGTCGGTCACACCAGTGACTTCAGCTAAAAGCTTCATATGAAATCATGAGCTAAATGAGAAAATCTCTGATAACTGAAAGACACAGTGGACTCACCATGAGCTTTTCTTCATAGATCCTCAGAAAACAGGTAAAAGGAAGTCGAGTGATGTCATCAGTGTGACTTTTATTACAAAATAAGAGATTTTTTGTTACGCAGTAACACCAGTGACACGACTCCTGGGGATCACCATTTCATTATATATTTCATAATATTTATTTGGCATTTGTTTTCTTTGTCATTTAACTTACATATTCCACAGTCATGTACAGATTATTGTAGTTAAAATTGAAGAAAAACGTTTTTTTCTTCAAAATATGGCCTCAGCCTTCACACATGACACTGAGGACGAGCTCTTCTGTGGTGCTTGGAATTCTAGATAATTGATTTAAAAACCAATATTGCTAAATTGAGGCTCGAGAAGGTGTAACTGTTAAAATAACGTACTGTTTTACTATAAAATATAAATAAATTGTAACGCTAATATGTTTTTTAAGTGTAATATATCTGTAAACGCTAGGGACACAAAAATGGACGTTTCTGTAGAATGACCCAAATGTGAAACAGTGCTCAAATCTGAGGGTTTTGTGACTGAGTGAGTGACTGAAGGCCTAAATGAAACCTGCTCTGTGGTGTTTGGGATTGTAGCATTTTGGCTAAACATGCTACACAACACAGCACAGCCCTGATTCCAGCTAACTGAGGCTAAAATGACAGCTGAATAGAGGATATCTGAGATTGCAATGCCGAGTGACCGGTGTTGGAGCGAAAGCTGAAATCAAACTGTTTTGTGCTGTGTAGCTTTTAGCCGTCGCTGAGCCGCTATCATGCTTTGTTTTTTAAGGTTTTTCTTGGCTCTGAATTTTCCCCTCACCTATCGGTGAGCTCCCACACCACCAGTCAGTGACCCCTCTGAATTATAAATGGACAGAATGTGTTTAACTAGCCATTCAGACATGGAATAGAAATCTGACACATCATAATTTTGAAACACTGTCATCATTTTTAAATATCCCAGATAGCAGCATATATCGGTCCCCTGGCTTGATAAGGTCGGCATCCCACTGACTGTTTGCCACTGCTGGTCCCCCCCTCAGACCGCCCAGATTACTGTCCTGCACACAAACTCTAACTAGTTTTTAATCTCCTCAAACAGATTTTAAATGCGCAGAGACTTTTATTTTAGAAAATAAACTAAGACAAATATCATATTGATGACGAGACCTAATGTAAAATGATTTTATAGAAAATGTGGTTGATGACACTGTGCTGGATTAATTAATTTACAAAGTATAACTAAAGGAAAGAGGGAAAGTAAACTGGACTGTGAGTGGAAACTGAGTGAGGATAACTGGAATTTTGTTTATTACTCTGCTTAAACACCGGTGGGCCTCCCGGAAAATGCTGAGCAAAATACAAGTGGACCGCCAGCCTTGCCATCAGCGGACCAACAGTGGCCCACTGACCTCTTGCTATCAGAGATCGTGGAATACCTTCTTACCATTATTCCGCCCAACCCTACTATATGCATATAAACATATTGTATATGCATATAACTTCAACAAGCTAGTATCACATGAAAAACTAGCGTTAACACGAAAAACACCATCACACTATTCTAAAACACACAGTATGGATCTCAGTCCATAGTAGACTCCAAAATCCTCACACCACACTACCACACACTACCACACACTAATTCACTTTATTTCTGTTTCCACAGGAAACAACTCAATGCATCATGAAATTGAAGATTTCTCCAACATCTGATATCAGATTAGGTCAGATTAATATGAAACTATTTTGGATTCAGAATTATTAAAAAAAAAAAATTATTACACAAATGGAGGAGAGGAATACAGACAGTAAAAACGTCAGCCTTTTTATTAACTTTCATGTTTAAAAATAACCTGAGAATCCTGTTTTGGCCAAAAATGCCTTTTATTGTTATTGATTATAATCAATTCCAACAATCTAAAATCAATGCACTTGAATCGCCACCTGCAGATCAATACATCAAAGCAAGCATCGTTCCATCCCGAGTGCACACACAAGCACTACAACAAAAGCTAATACGTAATGGAAGCTTACACCCCACCACTTAGAGAGCCGCTAACCGCATGCCTAAATCTCTTGCCTCAAACAGTGTGGAGTCGTTAAGTAACCTCTAATAGACTAGTTTAGACTATATGACATACTTTTATCACCAAACATGGACTAAAAGAGGACAAAGTTCAGGTGGTTGCTACTGTTTCTAGCTATGCCAATGTACTTTAGTCCATGATTATGAATAACAGTGTGTCATATAATGTCAAAAACCACAAAAGCAAATCTATTAGGGATTAATTAAAGAGGAATTCCGCAAACTTTTTAAAATGTCTGCATAATTTAGCAGTTAAGATGTAAACAAAGTCATTCAGAGTGGTTTGGTGTGAAATGGTTAATTGTAGAGACTCAGATTTCTTTACAGTGGTGGTGACGGGAACCAGAGGTCACCATGACTACAACACAAATATAGACATTTTATTTACTATCCAGAACCACCAGTGAACCTACATGAGTTTTTATGTTTTATATGGAATGTTGATGATGGTAAAATAGTGGAAAATCTGAAAAAATAAGTTTTTTTGGGGACTACTTTACTGCATGTACCTCTACATCATGAATGATTTAGGCTAAAACCTTCTTAAAACTATCATAAAACAATGTCTCAGAGATCAGGCAGCGTTTTCATAACTACTTCTTGTAGTAACTTTCTGTGAGGGAGCTTTTAGAGGTGGACGTCTGGTTCCTATCACCACCACTGTGAACACCAAACCACTCTGAATGACTTCGCTTACACCTTAACCATTTAAATATGCAGAAATATTGAAAAATCAACAGCCCCAGCGCAAAACTAAAGAGGCAAACTTCAGACACTAAACATGTCTTGGCTGATGAACTACATTTGGGGTAAAGTGGGAATGTTTACATTACATTTTATTTTTTGGACAAATGTGTATTTATGTGCAATTCTGAAGAATAAACTCTGAAAAAATATGAAAATTAGATCAAGATCATCTTCAGCTTTGACACATGAGGAACTCACTTAAGGAATATTCAGTGAACTCTGAGGACCACAGACTGGCCACACACAGCCAGAGACCACACAAACACCTACAGGAAACATGCCACACAGGAAATACAATACCTTTGGTGTGGTCTGTCCGTCATCACTCTCCTGGCCACTGAGAGAAAAAAAAAAGAATGAATCAACGATGATCCAAATGGGTGATTACTACATATTACATTAAAAAAGAAGTTGACTGTGTGTATATAATAACATACACTGACCAGCCACTTCATTAAGTCCACCTCCTTGTATCTACACTCACTGTTTTATCAGCTCCACTGACCATATAGTTGCACTAGTTCTACAGTTACAGACTGTAGTCCATCTGTTTCTCTGCATACTTTGTTACCCTGTTCTTCAATGGTCAGGAGCAGCAGATGAGCTATCGTCTCTGACTTTACATCTACAAGGTGGACTGACAAGGTAGGAGTGTCTAATAGAGTGGACAGTGAGTGGACACAGTGTTTAAAAACTCCAGCAGCGCTGCTGTGTCTGATCCACTCACACCAGCGCAACACACACTAACACACCACCACCACGTCAGTGTTACTGCAGTGCTGAGAATGATCCACCACCCAAATAGTACCTGCTCTGTGAGGGGTCCATGGGGGGTCCTGACCACTGAAGAACAGGATAACAAAGTATGCAGAGAAACAGACGGACTACAGTCTGTAAGGTAGGAATAATTGTTTTCAATGCTATAAAATAAATATAGTTTCAGATAAATGTGTACTGAATCAACTATGATGCCGGTGCTCTACACCTTCAGGTTTCATAGAATTAACAGAAGCTGTAAAAAATGAAGAAATTTACAAACACACAACATAAAGTGGTCAGTGTGTGTATACAGAAATAATTTCCAGTACTTAAGAGACTCATCTACGGTGACCATTTCCACTGGGTAGAGTTTAATTCCAGATAAATCCGCCGAGTTCATATTCACCCTGAAAATAAAAGCACAAAACAAATCAGAAAAATATTGGACTGTTCTTTAACATATAAAGTTAAGTACAATAAATATTACATCACAACACACAATTATAATTAGGGACTAATAGTGAGTGAAAAATTATGAGTTGTCATAACCGTGCAGATAATGTTACATACAAACGGTGCAAACTACACTAATGCTAACCCGTTTTAGCTGAATGTCTGAGCAAAGGGATGATTCAGACATGTTTCAGATGAAAATGAGAATCCATCAGACCCTTGATCACCTCCAGCTGTCTAGTCCGCTGCATCTGAAGTAGTCCAGTTTATTTCTGAGGCAGCAGAGATAAATAAATGGCCAGTCTTTCAGGGTTAGCCTTAGTCCAACATGGACACTAGACACACTGTACGTGAAACAAGCTCTGAACCAGCTGGTACTGAAGCACGGATGACTGTAACATTCCCCAAATTCAAATTTCCAGCAGCGTCTGACAGTCGTAGATACACGTGTATGGAATGCATGTATGAGACAAAGCTGAAACGTTTTCGAAATTCCCGTTCCACCTTAAATGGTGCAGCAGTTATATTTAGGGACCTGTACTAGTGCCAGAATGTAAAGGCTGCTTCATTTAAGGAGGAAGAACAAAATTTGAACAAAAAGATGCCGAATAAGGAACCAAGCTTAGCTTCGTATAATATATATATGGTAAAAATATTAGCCAGGTGGAACTTTTTCATACTTTCTATGAGGAATATTAGGAAAGAAAAAGATTTGCAATCTGTTCATGTCAAGTACCCAAAGGTTTCTCGCCTACAGGTTTGATACCACCTGAAAACACAACCTGATATGCTGAACACAGCAAAACAGAAACAGTAAGGAAAGTTCCAACATCACCTGCACACTCAGTTTCTGAGATAATGATTAAAAAAAATCACAAAAGTCAGCCAAAGTGCAAAAAATTACTAAAAATAATGGAATTCACTGGGTGAATTACACTAAGAATTCACTAAGTGTTTACATGCACTTAATAATCTGATCATAATCGAATTTCTGCAGTAACCTGATTATACTGGTTATTTGAACAGCCCTCCAATTTCTTAGATCGGAGTAGGATCTAGAAATCTGATTAAGAAATCCAATAAAGAGGCTGGATTTAAGCTCAGTAATCAGATCTCTAAGTGCTGTAAACTCTTACTCTGATTTCTTTCGGATTTCTCAGTCTGAGCATGTGTGAAAACAGACTGCAGTACCGGAAATAAATAAGCAGTGGCGCCGCGAGACGCAGCAAAACACTCTGTGAGTGATACTAAAACCAAATACATGCTTGACGAAATGAAGGATTTAAATACTCTTCATCTTCTAGATGATGTACGTTCATATTTTCAGGTAAAGTGGTACGAAGTTTCTAAAAAAAAAAGCTGTGGCCTGAAGTTTTACGCTACGTTTACGTCACGTCTTCTTCTGTGAGTTTATTGTCTGGCATCCATTGGTCAAATTAAGTGCACCATAACACATTTAATTAGAGGAACAGTAATGACATAAGAAAGAAAATATGTACCGCTGACCCCACATACCTGTTAGGGTCTTGCAGCATCTCCACTGCTTCCTTCAGAGGACTGATCATATCAACCTTCGACCTGTAGGTCAGGTAGTCATGTGATCAGAACTGATACAGAGGTTATTAAAGTTATAATTTGGCAAAAATCTAATTTACACTATTTTCCCCACATTAACTCAAATGTAGTTAATCAGCTAAGATGTTTAGTGTTTGAAGTTCTTATTGTTAGCACTGGAACTACGAGGCTAATGTAGCTAACAAGTAATGCCAGTCTATATCCCATCAATTCAGGGGTGGAGACAGTCCAGAGAAAATATACGTAAACAAAGTATGAGTACTGAATCAAAATTTGACTTCCTTAAAAGTGGAAGTATGAGTTAGCTACATTAGCCTAGATCGACTACTACATTTGAAGTAAGAGGGGAAATTTTCTGTCAAATTTCTATAAATTTCTATCAAATTTCACTTTTGTTGTGAAAATTGTACACAATTCAACAATATTAAACAAAACGCTCCATTTAAGGACATTTCGTAACTCATTTAGATGATATAAAGCAGCACCATAACTATATAAGCACATCTGTTCAGCACTTCAAACTAAACAGCATGTAATATTAGCAGTGAGCAAACGGCAATCAGGCGTGACTAGATGGAAGGATGACCGCAGAATAAAAGACTAGAATAAAGAAAAAGAACTCACATTTGCTCCGAGGCCCAGTTACTGTCTTCTTCTATCCTGAGCGGCTCGTCAAAGTCGCCTCCTCGACCCTGCAAACACAAACACGTCATCTCCAGCTGCACTCTGTCACGTGACTGCACAGTGAGGAACTGACCGGTTAGCAATTACAATGGACCCGTCCAACACTGCCTGCCTGTCAGAGCGACTGATACCCCCCAACACTGCCATACCAGTTCCAGAAACCTCCGACACACAAACTGTGGGATGCTTCCCAATTTTATTGACTATAACCCAATTATAAATCATACCGCATCACATTACTGTGTCACATTGCAACAACTCTGATAACCATGTATGGTATCTAGTCACAGTGCAACAGCCTACGGCTATAAAGCACACGTTCACACTGTTATAATCTGAACAGAAAACAGTAGTGCTGGTGATAATTTCACCTTTATTAATTTGGCTTTATTAAAAGCCAACTTACTGTTCTGCATAATCTTATTCTCCTTATTACTATTCTGCGCTCAAAAAATAAATGTGGCAGTAAATTTAAAGTGAAAGTAAATTTAAGGTGGCAGTGAACCGAAGGTATCATTAAATTTAAGGTGGCAGTGCATTTAAGGTAACAGTAATTTGAGGTGGCAGTGAATTCAAGTTGGCAGCGGATTTAGGGTGGCAGTGAAGTTAAGGGGGCAGTGGATTTTCAGTATCAGTTAATTGATAGATTAATGGTGGCATTGGAATTAGGGTAGTAACAGGCGCTGTGGCCCCCTCAGCGTCCCTGTTAGCTGATAGGTCTAAGACATGTGATGTGTATGTTCCTTACCTTGATATAACTGACAAATCGCGAGCTGAGGGCTGAGTCTCTGCAGTTATACGGTTCCTTCAGGGAGTCCGAGGGGCTTCTGTCCGCTACAGAAAACACATGTAAATATTTGTGTTGTATTAAGAAGCTTAAATTTTCAGATTCACTTCACTGATGCTGACAGTATACCAGAGCATAAAACAACGCAGAAGGAAAAGCGTTGGAACTCCAGTGAAATCGTGACTGCAGTGGGAAAGAAAATAGCAAAAAACAATGCTGAGGAAAAAACTCCTTGGAGTGCTGAGTTCCCCTGTAGAACTACAGGACAACTTCTTGCTCCATCCAGCATCTATCAGCATAGGAACTGAAGTTTGTTAGGCTGGATTCCTCTCTATTTCTGACATTTCAGTCTTTTTTCCTACCCTGAGAAAATCACAGCCCCTGTGTATGGAACTACATGTGATTGCCAACAGCTAAATTAGAAGAAAATACAACCCACTACAAACTTGCGCATCCTGCTGTCATTTTATTGCTGTGCAGATTAGAGTATTAAGGCTAAAACCTTATTCAGACAGGGAATATTTTTACATGGGTAAGTGGGATAATATAAGTTTTACTGGTGCTTCACAGTGATTTAATCCGGAGGGTGTTGCGCTCTTTGTGCCTGCAGAAGCTGATCAAATCGATCAATTAGAGCTGTTTTTTGTTTTGCTACCATGAGGAAAACGGTCAGTTCGCCTGGTAAGTTTCTCCTGTAAACCTGGAGTTTAAGAGGGCTTAATGATGCTATTGATGCTTCCCTTGTTTCCAGCTCATGGAGGTGAACTTGAACTGTAAACGCTTCACTCGTCTTCCGATATAAAATAAGCTGGGCGTAAACACAGTGACAGACATCTGACGACGGTGCTGTAGATCAGATTTACGGCAGAAAACGACTCGATTCACATGAAAAGTAAGCGGCTGTGTAGAGTCCCGTCTGCAGTCTGACTCTCCACGTTTCTTCCACTTTGGGTCTTGAGTCTTTTCCGAGTCATGAGGCGCAAGTCAGAGTCAAAGTCCGAGTCACTGGTCAAGTCATAAGTCTTTTTTGATTTTGTCGAGTCTCGAGTCATCAAATTCGTGACTAAGTCGTATGACTCGAGTCCACACCTCTGCTAGATAGAGACAGTAACACAAACCATTCAGCTGAAGTGAAATTACACCATGAATGTAATGTTAATGAGGTGGTCTTTATGGACACAACTGTGCAAATGTCAGAGACCCTTCATATCTGCAGTTTCCAATCAATACATTCATTAAGTACAAATTATTCATTTCTCAGCATCAGGAAAAAAAGACATTTAACAGAAAATTACAGTCTCAAAACGTAAATTCCACCTTTTTCAGTATTTAATGTGCCCCCTCTTCACCGTTATTCCAGTTTTCATTCTTTTCAGGATTCTCACTTTCAGTTCCTCAAAGAATCTGCAGACACACCTCCAGAGTTCAGTCTTAGAAGCTGGTTGATCATTTTCTGAAGTAATCAAACACATTCAGTGGTGTTGAGGTCTGGACTCTGGGGTGGTCAGTCCATTGTTCAGCTTCTTTGTTTGATGTGTCCATCTCCTTTTCTCAGTGAGGTTCTTCTTGATCAGCTACACATCCTTTCAGACCCACAGCGCTGAGTCGTCTTCTCACAGTGGAAGGATGGACAGAAACACCTGTGGATGTTTTCAGATCTGAAGCAGCTTGATTTTCTCCTCTCTCTCAGAGATGAAAGCTTTCAGTGCTGTTTATCTGATGGGGGCAGTTTTGGTGTCTACCAGCTCTTCCAGGTGGTTGTTAGGAGGAACATTTTCTCTGTAGTGTTTAATCAGTTCTGAAAACTCCACTATCTTTCCTTTTAAATTAAATACATTAAGGGTGGTCTCTGTTTTTTTCACAGTTCTGATGCTAGCTGTGTGTTTTATTACTCTGCTCTGTGCTCGTCTTGCTAACAGTTCCGGTATACTCACTACTAGACTAGACTAGACTTCAGACTAGACGACACTGCTGACCTGCAGCTGTGATCAGGTTGAGCTCCGAGTACCTCAACAGTTACTCTGCAGTTCTGCTACTTCACCTTACAGCTTTCAGCACCCCTCCCACAACTCTCTCTGTGTGCTGACACTGATTTCCTGTTGTGTATCAGCACTTCCTCTCCTGGTCCCGCCCTCAGGTCAAACCTGGGTCACACACACACTCACACACACATGTAGAATGACTGTGTTTCTTCAGGATCAGTGGTCTGTGTGTCAGCATGACTAAAGGATGTTTTTGTTCCACTCCTTTCACTTCCTACAGAACCACATTTCATCACAGAACTACGTCCCTCTAGAAACCAGGGGCTCCTTAGACAAGCCGACTGATAAATCCACTAGTAGGCACTGTGGGAAGCTGTCGACTCAGTGCCTGAAATACAGCTGTAGTAAAAACGGAATTGAACATGTGAACAGGCAGAACACAAATCACTTTTCTGCTAAACAAAATTCTTTTTTAGTTTTTATTTTTGTTTTTTTTTTTCCAGTTTTTATTAGTGCTGAAATACCACAAGATTAAACCAATTCCACCAAATGCTGTGTAAAACTGCACTGACATACAGGCTTGTTAAGCCGGGCTTCCACTACATGACCTTTACCCCGATTTCAGCCCTGATTCACAGTCTGTCTGAGACTGAGCTGGTCGGCTCTAGGGTCAGTCGGAGTCGAGGGCTGGAGAGAGAGTCGAGTTGTGTTTGAGGGGCTCAGCCTCAGATTTTTGGCCTCCTGATCATATTTCAGACCAGTCAGAGTTTATCAAACGTTTGATTTTTCCAACCCGACTCTGAGTTAAATCTAGTGTAAACTGGTCAACGACTCAATCTGAAAAACTCAAGCACAACTGAGTTAAAGTACACTTAAAACTAAAGTATTACCAAACTGATCACATTTGTAATCCATGATCCTCATTTCAACATGTTTACCTGCTGCTTCTTTACTGTTTCAGCACAAACGGCAGAGAAAACAGCAGCAGCAGCTCCACGATTGTTTATTTGCGTGTCCTAGTGACGGGAGAACGCAAGAGTTTGTGTGAGTTTGCGAGAGTTCAGTGAATTCAGATGAGTTCAGTGGGCTCCGTTCGGTTCAGCAGCAGCTGAAAAGCTGAATAGTGTGTGATCCCCAATATTTCAGTCGCCCCAAAAAAATCTGCAAACAACAGTCTGACAGAGCTGAAACTGAAAACTGAAAAACGTCAAAATGGACATACAAGGTTTTGTTCTGACGTTTACAGGTAATCACACGTTTTTTTTTCATGTGACCTCATTTTTTCACATGTAAACACAGGTTTTTCACAGATAATACATGTTTAACATGTGAAGTGTACAAAAACCATGTGTTTGTTCACAAGTGAAACGCATGTCACTGTTTTGTAGGCTGATGTTTACTGTGATCGTCTATTTTTTCTAAATAAAGTACTGAAAGAACTGTTGGGTTTCCAGCTGTTAAAGATTTGTGTGGATCTTAGAGAGTAACTCTGAAGTAATGAGTAATGAGATTACTTTTCCAAGAAGTACTCAGTAAAGTAATCCCATCACAGTTTGAGAGAAGAAATGAGTCACTTGTAATGGACTACTTTTTTGACACTGGTTACCTGTTAGAGCGCTGATATGTTCAGTGGAGTCATCTTTGCTGATTCCGTCTTCCTCTGTGATATTGGTCATCGGCACATTGAGACTCAGACTGTCCTCATCAGACGGCTAAAACACACACACACACACACACACACACACACACTCATTATTATACTAATTATGAGTCACTGAGTGCGTTCACATGCACTTAATAATCCGATAACTGCAGAAAATCAGATTTTGTCAGTAATCCAATCAACACGTTTACATGCACGAGTAATCAGATAATGGGGAAACTCTGGGTCAACATGAGTCAGTCAGTAATCAGATTTCTGCTTTGCAACCAGCCAATAAACTCACAGAAGAAGACGAGACGTAAACGTAGCGTAAAACGTCATGCTGCGATTTTTTTTAAAACATTGCGCCACTTTACCTGTAAATATTAACATACATCATCTAGAAGATGAAGAATATTATGTGTTTGGTTTCAAAGTCGCTCCAAAAGTGTTTTGCTGCGTCTCGCGGCGACGCTGCTCGCTTATTTCTGGCACCGCAGTCTCTCGGGTTTCTCAGTTCTGGCGCAGGCGCAGACTGAGAAAACCGAAAGAAATCAGAGTAAGAGTTTACATGCACTGAGAAATCTGATTACTCTGAAAATCCAGCTCTCTTTATCAGATTTCTTAATCAGATCTCTAGATCGGAGTACAGCGTTTACATGACCATTTGAATAATCGGATAACTGCAGAAATCAGATTATGATCGGATTATTGAGTGCATGTCAAATGCACTCAATTATGAGCCAAAGGCAAACAACATACATAAAGCACAGATATGATCTATATGTAAATATACACACGTTAGGAAAGCACTCTACTAAAGGCAAAAGCATTCTGTTGGTCCTGTAGGTCAGTCCTGTTTTTCTCTGGGCCATGCACAGCCTTCAATCATCCTAACATACGGTTTTTACTACAAAGTGGGGACACTTCCATCCCAAAATTGAATGAAAACAAACACAAACACACACACTGACCTCTGTGGCAGAAAGGCGTTTGTCTCCGTTGTCGCTGCCCACACCGGAGTCACTGTCAAGTTTCTTGTGCTGATCGATGTCCTCCGTACTGAGAGAGAGACAGAGAGAGAGAGAGAGAGAGAGAGAGAAGGAGTTAAGGGAACATTTAGTTTGCACAGACAAGAAAGCTGCTTCTCTCTCTCTCAGTCTATTAACACGATTCTCCTGAGATGATCCAGCGCACACACATGACCTGAATTTCCCTCATTCTTCCCTCCCTTGTAACGTCTCTCTACTTTTCCACTGTCTGAGACGATACCTTACACCATACCTGAAGACTACGAGCTGAAACTGAAATGCAGTACTGCTGGCTGGGCTTTGTGGCTGTTTGAGCTTTGGGTTAGCACAGGCTGTCACAGCGTGAGGCTAATGGGAAACTGTATAAACATCTGTACATTAATAAACACTTCATTAGGCCCAAGAGAGACTGTGATCATAAACTTGCTCACTGTCGACTAGCTATTTTACTAGCTGTTTACAAGCAAGTTATAGACTATTCATTAATACATATTGTGCAGTAGGCTAGCCAAAATACAGCTAAGCTACCCCAAAGCTAAACCAGGCCTATTGTTTTACATTTTTTTCGTACACAGAATATAGAAACAAATATAAAAAGTTTTATATATTCTTACAAACCTTGCCCCTTTATTAATATTAATGGGGCACTTATACATTGCTGGGATCGAAAATGGACCCAGAACAGCCTACTAACTGTTTTTCCACCTACCTAACTACACTGTTAGAAATAAAGGTTCAGGTACATTTTTCATTCATTGAGGTACAAACAGTGTAAATGTTCCCTCAAAGCTCCAACAGTGGTTTTAAGGTCTGATTGTGAACCTTAAATAAGTTTTTCCAGGTGAAAAGTTCGTATTTGTACCTTTTCATAACCCGAATGTTTTAAAACAGAACAGTAAAATAAAAGCCTGGAGACGAGACGGGGTGTGTGGAGTCAGTACAGCTTAGAACATATCATTTCAGTGGATTATGGTTCAGTTATGTTCCCTGACTGAAGGTACTGAGATGGAGCCTTGAGGGAACCACCCCATTGACAAGAGGGGAACTGACCCAGTGACAGTTTAGTACCTTTATTTCTGAGAGTGTAGCTACACAAATTCGACCAAATTAGCTGGTCACTATTTCTAAATCTTCTAAAAACTATTACAGCCTTTAATGTTACAAGTGTAGCTGCTGGGTGGTGAACCATCTTGTTTTGCGCACACGTTTAGGTCATGGATGGACTGGGATCAGAATTTGGCAGTAGACTTCTGTCCACTACAATCGGTGGACACCAGCTATTCTGGTACCACCCCTTCATCATTTAACTGGATTGCTTTATCACTAAGGTAGTTTACCTGTTTATGTAGCTAATATCTAATAGCTAAGTAAGGCAACTCTTTTTCTAGTATCAAAAAGCGGCCACAGGGACTGACCTGCCGGCGGAGGGCCGTGATAGGCTGAGGCGGTCCATGACGGGCAGGTAAAGGGAATCCGGCATCTTATCGCCGCGGCACGCCTCCATCATCAGGTACTTAAATATGTGGACTTTCCCCTTTATACAAATCTGCGAGACGAGATCAGACAGATGATAAAACAAACACGTTACAGGATAAACGTTAAAGTTGTCTTATATCAGGAGTCGGCAACATGCGGCTCTTTACTGCCCTGTTGTGGCTCCACAGCTGAATCAGATTAGTAGGTACAAATAAAATAATCCTCCTTTACAGTAAAATAAAGCTCTGCTGATCGTTCAACACAGTTTAACAATAAATGGTCTTAAACTCTGGAGTTAATGTAGAACTGCTAATTCACCCTTTAACCCTGAAGATCAGCACAGACTGCGGGTCACTATAGCAACACAGATACCAATCTCGTCTAGCTAGCAGCTAACAAAACGGCAAGGAGAGATATTTAAGACGAACATCGTTAATTTGGAGACAAATGGACTTATTTGCATTTATAATCACTCCAGCTGGTTTCCTGATACGATTAATCTGCAACGGGAAACTGTAAAACACCAAAAAGCCACGATGCTCAAGTCAATTCGCCAGCTTCTCATTCAAATTGTCCCGTTCCACCTTAAATGGTGCCGCAGTTACATTCTGGCGCCTCAGACACCATTTAAGGCGGAATGGGAGAATTAGAACAAGAAGCTGGCGAATGAGAAGCGACTTCAGCCTCGTAAAAAGTCGAACGTCGAGAGACATTTTACAAGAAACTGTTCTACTTTTGTGCAAAAGTTTCCTGCCGGAGATGCGAGAAAAGCAGCTATAACTGAGCTAAAGCTTAAAGCAGAGCAAAGTAAGTCTGCGTTTCCATTTATATTTTTAGCCCACACTAGAACATCAGCACATACTGAGACATATTTACAGCCAAGATGGTAAAATGGATATAAAATGTTGTGGCTCTTAAGATGGTTTGATTTTTGTTGACAGAATGGCTCTTCTTAATATTTGGGTTGCCGACCCTGACTTATATGTTTACGTGTGGCTACTATTACCTGAGCTGGGGGGCTCTGTAGTGGGTTGTTCTCAAGCTGGAGTGACTGCAGTTGAGTCATTTTGCGGTAGCAGACAGGAATAGTGGAGACTTTGTTGCAGGAAAAATCAAACTTCACCAGAGGTAGATCAGCCAAGTCTGAAAAGCACACAAAAACAAAAAGATATGAATTATGATATTTGTACCAAATATTCTTTGCTTCTTTTTTATGTACTTTATAAATACTGTAATATTCCCTGCCCAGCCCTTATGAAGTTAGAATGGTTGTGACATCACGGCCTATGGCGGTTTAGCCCCCGCTGGAGTTACAAGGCGGTCAATCAAAACAGAGGTCATTTTCAGTCATATGCAGTTTGAACCCCCCCCCAGTCAGTATGTACGTTTGAACAGCCCTGGTCAAATTACATGCTTTTTGTTGTTGATTTGTTGAGATATTGAATATTATCATATTGAAAAATGAACAAAATTATCAAATGTGCTGCAGCTTCTGCACAGGCCATGTTTTATGTTTGTTTTTTTTCCAATGTGTTAATTTCAGCAAATAAACAGTAATTGTGTATTAAATTGTGCAGAAGTGTGTCTCTACAGAGGATGTGTTCACTTATTTTAGGAAAGGAATAAAGAGAGGTTGGAAAATGGTCATGTAGATATGAATTATGATTATGTTTCTAATACATAAACCCTTATAAACACTGACAAAAGACAAAAAAATAAAGAACAGTAAAATTAGGGCCATTTAATTAGTTTATGTCTTTGAAAGACTCTGTTTTGGCTGTGAATATTGTTTTTCAGAACTTATTTTCATTGCTAATATACTGAATGTAATGTGTACTATTAATGTCCACATAGCCATATAATTCAGCGGTTAAACATGTTAAACACAGTCAAACACAAACTATACTGATAATGCAATTTATGTATAGATTTATTTTTTGATACAAAGGTACCAATAAATCGAATCTAAACAGTCATTTTCTTTTCAGTATGATATCAAATTCAAACAGGAGTCTAGACTTCAAGTTCCATCTCGACTGACCCACTTACTGAGACACAATTAACCTTCTGATTTATAGAGCACTCCGGAGACCATCTGCGAAGTGAGCACTAAATTATAAATGTTAAGGGATCGTCTCTAAACTTCAGTAAACTGCGCCTTCACATCGTCTTCAAGAAATCCCCCAAAAAATCCTAGAGGACATTATCTGTACAGAACACACTGAAACTCTGACCTCTAAATATTACAGTAAATTTCTTCACTGTAAGGTTTAAGACCTTTTAAAAAGAGTATTTTAAAAGCTTGTTACTGAAGCCTTTGTCTGATATTGACCTTTCGAACTCAACGTTTTCAGACCCACAGAAAGAGCTGTTATTTAGAGGCTTAGCAATTTTTGCTAGCAAATTTTATATATACACTTTATAGCCAAAAGTATGTGGACAACTGACTGTCACATCTATATGAGCTTGTAATAATGGGCATTAATATGGATTTGGACCCCCTTTGCATCTGTAACAGCTTCCACTCTTCTGGGAAGCTTTCCACAGATTTTAGAGTGTGTCTGTGGGAATTTGTGTCCATTCAGTCAAAAGAGCATTTGTGAGGTCAGGGACTGATGTTGGACGAGAGGGTCGGGCTCACAATCTCCGTTCTAGTTCATCCCAAAGGTGTCCAGTGGGGTTGAGGTCAGGGCTCTGTGCAGGCCACTGGAGTTCCTCCACACCAAACTCATCAAACCACGTCTTTATGGAGCTGCTTTGTGCACAGGGGCTCAGTCATGCTGGAGCAGGAAAGGCTCTTCCCCAAACTGCTGCCACAAAGTTGGAAGCATGTAACTGTCTAAAATGTCTTTGTGCTGTAGCATCAACATCACCCTACACTGGAACTAAGGGGCCTGAAAAACAGCCCCAGCCCATCATCCCCCCTCCACCACACTTTACTGTTGGCACTTCTGTAGTTGGCGTTCTTCTGGTTGACACTCAGCACTGAGCATAGCAACCTGCTCGGCCATGGAAATCCTTTTATAAAGCTCCTGACAAACCGTTCTTGGGCTGATGTTGCTTCCAGAGGCAGTTTGAAACTGCCTACCTTTCAGCAAGTGATGCAACAGAAGATAAGCTGCTGTTGCTCTCGCTCTGCGTTCACAGCGGCAGCGGCCTCTTTTCGCCTCTTGCGGCCGGTCACTCATCCCCTGTTGGTTGTTTCTGAACTCCAACTGACCGTTTGCTGTCATGGTTTCACTGATGCCAAGCACAAATCAAATATACATACACATCATCTAAACCGCTTATCCTTCTGGGTCGCGGTGGGTTGCTGGAGCCTATCCCAGCTGTCATTGGGCGGAAGGCAGGATACTCCCTGGACAGGTCACCAGTCCATCGCAGGGCAGACAGACAGACATACATACACAATCCCACACACACACACACACACACACTCACACCTAGGGGCAATTTTAGCACGTCCAATTGGCCTGACTGCATGTCTTTGGACTGTGGGAGGAAACCCACGCAGACACGGGGAGAACAGGCAAACTCCACACAGAAATGACCCTGGTCACCCGGCCGGGAATCGAACCCAGGCCATTCTTGCTGTGAGGCAACAGCGCTACCCACTGCGCCACCGTGCCGCCCACAAATCAAATATGTTCCTGCTAAAATTAAAAATCCTGGTCAGAAATCGTTTGTGTGCTTATTTGTATTTAATCCCTGTGTCTGTGCAGTCAGTTTGTAAGGTAAGACAGTATTTGGTCTTTTTACTGTCTATATGCAGCGAAAGACGCGCCGCCGTTATTCCATCTCGTAGGAACAATTATCTAGGAACCAAAAAAAGGCCACAGTGTTTCACAGTGGCAGAGATGAAGTGTGTACTACGCTGCTCAATGCTCAATTCCTATTGGTAATCGCCACGTTGCTTCACTCCTCATTGGCATAAAGTTAAACTCTGCTCAACTTTGTTGCGTCGCTGACCCCGCCCACTTCGCACCGCCTCCTGTTGCCGGAAATCACCAACTCTCATTGTCAACGAATGACCTCCAAGTGCCTTGTCGTGTCGCATCACTGCCGGTGTGAACGCAGGGTTAGACGCTTCCATTTCACAATAATAGCACTTACAGTTGACCGGGGCAGCTCTAGCAGGGCAGACTTGTGGCCAAGGTGACATCATCTGACAGTGCCACGTATAAAGTCGCATTAACATCAGTTAACAACATTTCCTATGGAGTGAATACTGGAAGCTTGGGCAGTGATTACTTCATCAGCTCACAAGAGAAAAACAAAGAAAAACAGACAATAAATCAGACCATCAGCTGCAGATCTCTCAGACAGCCTGGTCTAATTAAACGCTTACACTCCAGGCTATTAATCTTCTGCTCTGAGCAAGTGGGAAAACTCCAAATCCTATTTTTATAACCAGTCAGCATACTTTTCTTAATTAGCTGAACCGCAGAAATTCAGCCATAAGTGGCCTTTTTTTCGCCAAGGTCAGTTGTTGACATAACTCCTCCCACATTTCCCTGAAAATGCTGCTTAGCATGATCCCATTAGCGCTCGGAGTCATCACGGATGAGCTCCTCTCTGCTATTTAAAGAGCTTTTAGCACAAGATCCCTTTCCCATTGAACTGTGTTCTTATACAGCAGATGTTTTTACAACCTCAGTCTCGTCCTCGTCTGGCAGGCAAAGGGCTTTTTATCATTAAACGATACAGTTTAGTATTTTCATACTGAGGTTGTGCTCACTCCTCACGCCAGCTCCAGAAAAGGCCCACAGCTTATGTTTTTCTGCTATTTTATTTTTTGTATGGTTTTACATACCAAAAAATGTAATTGATTATTACCATTATCCGACCTCTCTTCATCCCTTAGGATTAAACACACTGTTTTTATTACTGTGCCTTAAGAGTGATATGTGTAAACGAGCTCTGTTCTCATTGGCTGTGCTGTGTTGTGCATCATTCAAAAAGCAGTCCAGTCTGAAACACTCCTTATAGCTTCAGTGTGAATGGGAGGGTCTAAACCGCTGTAGGCTGATATGTGTAAGTGTGTTTTTGTGACATCACTAAAACAGTGAATTCAAAACATATATGGACTGTATGGACTGGAGAGTGAAATGTTTCAAAACTTGAACAGTGTTTACATATTATGTTAAACTCTTTTACTACAAATAAATGAGGAATATTCGATTTCCCATAATGTGAAGAGTTGACAGAGATTTATTTATTCATTTATTTATTTATTTGGTAAATTAAGACACTAACACAAATAGTTACATATTATGCTGTCACTGAAAATTCATTATTATTTCATAGATTTATATATAGATGATAACCTCTCCTGGATGTCCTTGAAAAGAATTCTACAGAAGCATCC